ATGCTGCATCCTTCTAATTTATTACCCATAAATAACACATAATGATGTGGTATTGAGGTTAGACCCTACATGATGAAAATTTTGACAAATTAAGATTTGACACTTGTCAAACACATGATTAGGGGGTATAGATCCGCAAGCTTATTGATTGACCATGGATGAGAACCGATCGACCACTATCTAAGAGAAGATAAGTAGTTCTTCTATCATTCAAAAAGTGATAACTTAGGTGTCTTAAGTATTTTTTTAACACTTTTCAACAACCTCCTAAAAGAAAAATGCTTGAGGCACCTAATTTATTACCCCTAAAAATCACCCCTGATAATGTATCTGACAAGTGTCAAATTTTAATTTGTCAAATATTTCATCACGTGGGCTCTAACCTCAATGCCAGATCATTAGAGGTTATTTAGTGGTGATAAATTAAAGGGATGTAATATTGTTGCTCCTAAAATTGTTGGAACAATATTTCTAGGAATATGTTTGGTTTTAATTTCAGAATTAGTTTTATGAAAAAATAAAAAACAATAAAATGATATCTTTAAATTTTATAAATTATTTTCATTCCAAAATAATGGTAACACTACATGAAAATGAGTGCTTTTTATATTTACTTTTTTCATTAAATTAATTTATCTTTTTCTTTTTTTAAATAAAGAGGGATTTATTTATAAATCCTGTTTAGAGTAGTTCTAACACAATAAGTTCATAAAGTATTCTTGTAGCTAAGTTAATCTTATTTATTTAGACTTTTATTTCAAAAAATAGATTATGAAAATAAAACAAAAAATATATATATTGGACATTGTTGTGTGTGTGTGTGTGTTTTTTTTTTTAAACTCAATATCCGACCTAATAAACTAACTAATTTGGAGAACCAATCCTACTATGCTAATTGGGAGTTCAATTAAAGCCAAGTAAAGCTTCATATAATCTCAAAAAAATTATTTGCAAATAAAAGATCAAAAACCTGAAACCAACTCCAAACCGAAGTCGTAATCACCCAATCAACCCATTCAGTTTCATTCAACGTTGTTTGGGACCACTGAACCATTTCAATCACTTTTCAACATTAATCTGCCCCGCACTTGGCGGATTACTATTTTTGAAAAATATTAAAATATACAAAAATAAAATAAAATTATAGAAAAATGTACTTATAAATCTCATCTTAAGAAATAATAATCTGTTTAGTTTAAAAAAAAATCTTATAGACCAATTAGTCACATTGATTTTGAATAGGTAGATTTAATATATTATTTAAAAATTAGATTTACGATTATAGCCTTTTTTTTATTATGTTTCCTTCTTTCTTTTTCTTTTTCTGTTTTTCTGTTATGCTAGAAATGTATGATACACAATCTATGATAATCAAATTTTGGATGAATTTTTACATGAGAATATTTTTTATTTGGAATAACTTGAAATGTGAGATTTTCAAACATTTCAAAATGAGTACACAAAAATGACTTAAAATATGAAATTATTTAAACATTTCAAAATGAGTACAAAAACTCCTTAATAAGATTTAGGCAAATGTATAATTCAAATTGTAACACTCAAACATAACACTCTAAAAAAAACTCCTTAATGTACTTTTTCTAAACGTAACACTCCAGTATAACACACAAAAAAACTCCTTAGTGTACTTTTTACCGAACGTAACACTCCAATGTAACACTTTAAAAAAAAATGTGAGATCCTTCAAATCATTCCAAAAAGGTGTGGGATTCTTCAAATCATTCCAAAAGGAGTACAAAAATTCCTTAATAAGTTTTGGGCAAATATATAATTTCAAATTGTGAGTGTTACGTTTAAGAATTTTTTAGTATTTTTTTAGTACACTAAGGAATTTTTTAGTATTTTTTATATGTATTACATTTGAGTGTTACATTTGGGAATACATTGATTAAAGTGTTACGTTTGAGATTACATTAATTGGAGTGTAACGTTTGGGAAAAGTACACAAGAAGTTGTTTTGTGTATTACATTGAAGTGTTACGTTTGAGAAAAATACACTATAGAGTTGTTTTAGATTGTTACGTTTTTACATTTGGAAAAAAAAATATATACTAAGGAATTTTTTAGTGTGTTACATTTGAGTATTATGTAATTAGAATGTTATATTGAAATATTACGTTCTTATCCGTAATGTAAGATTTGTTCAAGGAGGGAAAATCTAAAACATCTATAATGCAGATTGTCCAAATATGTAATTTCACATTTGGAGAAATTCACTTTTATTCCTAAAAAAATTAAACCCAAACATATAAGTGACTGCCATTTTGTGTAATTTTTACTTTAATGGGACTTTTGGGTTGATAAGAAAAAAGAGAGGATTAAACAATTCACAAAATCACATTTTGAGATTTAGTGTTTCATCCAAAATTATAGAGGTAACATTTTTGTAATTTTAAAATATAATGATGTTCTTTTTTGTGCCAAAAGAAAAAATGAAAAAAGAAAAGAAAAGAAAAGTAATAGGCTTTCTTGAAAAAAATGAAACGTTTTTTGGTCGGATTACAAAAAGATAAGAAAATTAATTGTTTGCTAAAAATTTAATTTTTTTCTTTGGTTATTCATTGAAAAATATGTATACATAATTTTAAAATTTTGTTTTTTTTTTTGGGCCGGGATTGGCCATGATACACGGTTAGGACATTCTAATTTGTTAGGTAAAGCCAGGGGGTGAAAAAATGGTCCGCCAGCCTGAACTTCACCCGAGGCTCAGCCCAATTCAAATCTCCCAAGTTAAACCTAGGCCATGCCTTTTCTGGCTACGACCCTACCCATCAGATGCCCAACGTCATTTTCAAATTATTTTGGTGAAATTTTTTTTATAAGAAAATGTCAAGCCCGACTCTCCAACCAGAAGCTTTGGAATTGGGCGTGGGTTTGATTTTTTGAAAACTAGACAGGTCAACTCTGTCTAATTTTTAGCGGGAGTTCAATAGGCCCGTGGGCATGCCGGCCCAAGCCTGACCCTATATGGTCTAGGCTGTGCCGAATTTACACCCTTAGGTAGAATGTGTATTGAGACTTCTCGGTAGTTAAGAATACTATGTGACAATGTTATATGATATCCCAAAATATCAATTTGTATGAAAAGTTTGTAAATTCAAAGTTTTTTTTTTATAATAATAAATATTTTTATAGACAATGAAATTTTAACCTTGAAATTTGTGTTAAAATAAGTAGATTTATCAAAAGGAAATGAAATTATTTATTCATATTATTTTTTATGAATAAAAAAAAAGATATATTTGATTTTATTGACATATCACTTCTATAGATGGAGTTGAAAAGCAGGATTTTTTTTTTTTTTAAATTTACAATTCATTTTTTTTTTTAATTTTTCCAAATCCAAAAAGAAGAAGAAGACGACGAAGAAGAAGAAGAAGAAAAGTTTAACTTCTAGTTCATTTTCTTTTTATGTAATTTTCTTTTTTTATTTTTTTCATTCACAAATCTCATATCCTGGTTTTTATTAATTTTCTAAAAATTGAGTTTTTTATTTTTCATATTTTTTATTTTTAGTTAATTTTTTTAATATTTTAAATAATTTTTTTTACTTTCTAATTGCACATAACTTAGATGCACCTAAAAAGTAAAATATTTGTGAAAAAATATTTTAAAAATTTAATACATACACAAGAATATAAAAATGTACTGAATTTTTATATTTCTTTTGTATTTTTTGTATTTGATAAATTTTTTAAAAATTGTTTTCATAAAAGTATATTTTTTAAGTATATCTAGGTTAGGTGCATTTAAAAAATAGAAAGAATGTTAAAATATTAAAAAAAAAAATGGAAAACACAAAACTCAATTTTTTCAAAAAGTGAACTCAGTTTTCTGAAACCAAACGAATCTAAGATCCATACATAACCTAATTAGTATACTAGAAGCAGCTCTTTAGTTAATCACTTCTGCAAATTTCAATAAGCACAAACTGTACATGGTTAAATCGCATCAGTTTATTTATTTATTTATTTTTTATCATATTGGCTATCATGAAATAATAATAACAACAATAATAAATAAATAAATAAATCTAAGGACACAAAACCAACAACAAAAACTGGTTTTGGTTACAGATAATAAGCAGTAAGACTCGTCATAAAAAAATAAATAAATAACTATAGAAGAAGAACAGTTTCATTGGGAAATCTTTTTATAGGTGAATTTGATCAAATTGTGGCAATACTTCATATGCGATTATTCAATCAAACCTAAACTTGGAACAATTTAATTTTGAAACTAAACTAATTTTTCAACCAGTGGGGCAGTCCACTTCATCTTATTGTTTTTTTCATTTAGTTATTTATCGTATTATCTATCTATAAATACTTATCCATGCTCTGAAAGAACTTCAAGCCCTTCATCCCTCCATCCAAACAATTGTTCCTCATTGCTTGTAGTTACAAACCAACAATGACATCCTTAGCGGAGAGGCTTTCCAACCAGTTTGTTCCGTTCCATGTCCTGTTTGTCTTTCTCATGATCCTTGAATTTGTCTCTTTTTTTAATTCTGCAACTTATGCTGCTTCTGGAACTCCTAAAGTTGGAGAAGACGGAGCTGAAGCTGTGGCTCTCTTGACATGGAAAGCTAACCTTGACAACCAGAGCCAACGTCTCTTGTTCTCGTGGGCTGGAAGAAATCATTGCAATTGGGTTGGAATCGATTGCAATAATACTGACAGAGTCACCCATATAGACCTTGAGAGTAAAGGCTTGAGAGGTACACTTTCCAGTTTTAACTTCTCTTCCTTCCCTCATCTCCTCAGCCTTAGGAAATCTTTTTATAGGTGAGTTTGATCAAATTGTGGCAATACTTCATATGTGATTAGTCAATCAAACCAAAACTTGGAACAATATTTTACTTTAGAATTTTGAAACTAAACTAATTTTTCAACCAGTGGGGCAGTGCAGTCCACTTCATCTTATAGTTTTTTTATTTAGTTATTTATCGTATTATCTATCTATAAATACTTATCCATGCTCTCAAAGAACCTCAAGCCCTTCATCTCTCCATCCAAACAACTGTTCCTCATTGCTTGTAGTTACAAACCAACAATGACAGCCTTAGCGGAGAGGCTTTCCAACCAGTTTGTTCCGTTCCATGTCCTGTTTGTCTTTCTCATGATCCTTCAATTGGTCTCTTCTTTTAATTCTGCTACTTATGCTGCTTCTGCAACTACTAAAGTTGGAGAAGACGGAACTGAAGCTGCGGCTCTCTTGAGGTGGAAAGCTAGCCTTGACAACCAGAGCCAATCTCTCTTGTTCTCGTGGGCTGGAAGCAATCATTGCAATTGGGTTGGAATCGATTGCAATAATGCTGACAGAGTCACCCATATAGACCTTGAGAGTAAAGGCTTGAGAGGTACACTTTCCAGTTTTAACTTCTCTTCCTTCCCTCATCTCCTCAGCCTTAAACTTCATGACAACTCAATCTACGGGACAATCCCCTCAAAGATTGGTAGCCTTGTAACACTCACCTACCTTGACTTGTCCAACAATTATCTTTCAGGAACAATTCCATCAGAAATAGGAATACTCTGTTCTCTCACAATTTTGTATTTTTATGATAATCAACTTTCTGGATCCATCCCTCATCAAGTTGGAAAGTTAAGGTCTCTCATTGAATTTGATTTGTCAACAAACAATCTCACAGGTTCAATCTCTGCTTCTATAGGGAACTTGACCAACTTGACCATTCTATACCTTTATAAAAATCAACTTTCTGGATCCATCCCCCAAGAAGTTGGAATGCTAAGGTCTCTAATTGAGCTTGATTTGTCAGAAAACATTCTCACAGGTTTGGTCCCTACTTCTATGGGGAACTTGGCCACCTTAACCATTTTACACCTTTTCAAAAACCGTCTTTCTGGACCCATCCCTCAAGAAGTTGGAATGCTAAGGTCTCTCATTGAACTTGATTTGTATGTAAACAATCTCACAGGTTCAATCCCTCCTTCTATAGGGAACTTAACCAACTTGACCATTCTATACCTTTATGAAAACCAACTTTCTGGATCCATCCCCCAAGAAGTTGGAATGCTAAGGTCTCTCATTCAACTTGGTTTGTCAACAAACAATCTCACAGGTTCAATCCCTGCTTCTATAGGGAACTTGACCAACTTGACCAATCTATACCTTTATAGAAACCAACTTTTTGGATTCATCCCTCAAGAAGTTGGAATGCTGAGGTCTCTAATTGAACTTGATTTGTCAACAAACAATCTCGCAGGTTCAATCCCTGCTTCTATAGGGAACTTAACCAACTTGACCATTCTATACCTTTATGAAAACCAACTTTCTGGATCCATCCCCCAAGATGTCGGAATGCTAAGGTCTCTAATTGAACTTGATTTGTCAACAAACAATCTCACAGGTTCAATCCCTACTTTTATAGGGAACTTGACCAACTTGACCATTTTACACCTTTTTGAAAATCGTCTTTCTGGATCCATCCCTCGAGAAGTTGGAATGCTAAGGTCTCTCATTAACCTTAGTTTGGATGGAAACAATCTCACATGTTCAATCCCTCTTGAGTTAGGAAAACTAAACTCCCTAACTCATTTGAATTTGCATCATAACAAACTGACAGGCTCCGTTCCTTCAGAAATGGACAATCTTACGCATTTGCAAATCTTTGAGGTGAGCAACAACATGCTCACAGGTCATATACCACGAAGTATCTGCGTTGGAGGATCACTTACCAAGCTACTTGCATCAAACAACTACTTAATAGGTGATATGCCAAAATTCTTGGGAAATTGCAGTCAGTTACGTCGAGTTAGACTTGATCAAAACCGACTCACTGGAAATATATCTGAAATTTTCGAGGTACTCCCAAACTTGGTATATATCGATCTGAGTCATAATAACTTCTATGGTGAACTTTCTAAAAAATTGGGCAAGTGCCATAATTTGACTAGTATAAAGTTCTCCAACAATAAAATCTCTGGAAATATACCACTTGAGTTTGGAGGTGCAAGTCAGTTGCAACTACTTGACCTCTCTTCAAATCATCTAGATGGAGAGATCCCAAAGAGTTTAGGAAAGTTGGCCTTATTGTTCAGTATTTCTCTGAGTGATAACAAACTTTCAGGCAATATTCCAGTAGAATTTGGCAGGCTATCTAATTTGGAAGATCTAAACTTGGCGGCAAACAATCTAAGTGGATCAGTTCCAGTCCAACTAGGGGAGCTTGTGAAACTATGGAACTTGAATTTGAGCAAAAATCTACTCGGGGAGGATATTCCTTCTGAAATAGGCACATTACAATTTCTTCAAAGTCTTGACCTTGGAAACAATTTGTTTAAAGGTGAGATTCCACAACAGATTGGGGAATTGCAAAGCTTAGAGACATTAAATCTATCCCACAATAAGTTGTCTGGTTCCATTCCATCCTCTTTTAATGGGAGATCAAGTTTGACATCTGTTGATATATCTTATAATCACTTGGAGGGTCCTTTGCCCAACACCAAAGCCTTTCAAGATGCTCCATTTGAGGCATATGTAGGTAATGATGGTTTTTGTGGAAATAAGACCGGTTTGATGCCATGCTCACGAAAAATGAGCAATGGGGCTAAAGACAAAAAACATAACAAAGTTTTGCTTATGGTCTTAGTTCCTGTTTTAGGATTTTTATTTTTTGTGGTTGTTGGGAGTTTTCTAGTTCTTCAAAAAAGAGTGGGAAACAAACAAAATGAGCCTAAAAGAGAAAATATTGAAAATTTGTTTGCAATATGGAGCTATGATGGAAAAATGGTGTACGAAAACATCATTGAAGCAACAGAAGACTTTAATGCCAAACATTGCATCGGTGTGGGAGGATATGGCACTGTTTATAAAGCCAAATTGCCAAGTGGTCAGGTTGTTGCTGTGAAGAAACTTCACTCTTCACAAGTTGGTGAGTTGGATAACCTAAGGAGTTTTACAAGTGAGATTCGTGCATTGGCAGAGATACGGCATCGTAATGTCATAAAGCTTTATGGTTTTTGTTTGCATCGACGACACTCATTCCTAGTTTACGAGTTCATGGAAGGGGGGAGCTTAGGAAAGATATTGAGCAATGAGAAAGAAGCATTAGATTTTGAGTGGAGGAAGAGATTGAATGTTGTTAAAGGTTTGGCAGATGCTTTGTCATACATGCACCATGATTGTTCGTCTCCGATCATCCATCGCGATATATCAAGCAAGAATGTTCTACTAGATTCAAGATACGTGGCTCACATCTCTGATTTTGGCACTGCTAGACTTATAAAGCCTCAATCATCTAATTGGACTTTGTTTGCAGGAACCTTTGGATACGCAGCTCCAGGTATGGCATGACTTTTCCTCAAATCAACAAGCAATTTTTTTTCTTTTTACCAACATTTATGGCATAGTTTTCTCTAAATTGGCATGCAAAGCCTTTTCTACTATTCTTCTTCTTAATTTTCCATGAACAAACTGTCATTTCTTTTTTTTTTTTCTTTTTTTTTTCCCCATTATCCCTCTATTTTCTTTGGTCTATTTTTATGTCAGAACTTGCTTACACAATGGAAGTGAATGAGAAGTTGGATGTTTATAGCTTTGGAGTTTTAATCCTGGAAGTTCTAATGGGGAAGCATCCCGGCGATCTCATCTCATCTATTTCCTCATCACCACCCACTGTTTATGGTGTATCGTTGAAAGATATACTGGATATGCGCCTCCCATCTCCTGGGAATCATGTGGAAGAAGAAGTGGTCCTTGTTGTGAAGCTAGCATTGGCATGTTTACACACCAGTCCACAGTGCCGACCAACAATGCGACAAATTTCCGTGGCTCTATCAAAACAGAGACCACCTCTGCAGAATTCATTTGACTTGATTTCATTAGGACAACTCTTTGATGTCAAATGTTCAACCTCCTGAGCATTCTCCTTTTCCCTTTATTGTTTTGTGTTTTTGTTTTTCTATTTTTACGTTGAAATTTTGATTTCCGTTCTCTTTGTTATCTATTTCTCTGTCATTTTCTATGTTCAAAGTTGGAAACACGTTGAAATACTGTTGGTAAATAAAAACGTGTTCCAAAGGACAGGTGTGAATAAGATGAAGAGAAGGCTACTTGGTTACGTAACTTTTTGACCATGTGATATGTTTGGCTGCAATATTGTAATTTGTAGCCTCATTAAATTCTTGGCTTTTCATAAACCTAGCCTGGACCATGTGGTGACCCCTCTTTGTTTTCCTTTCCTGTAAATGTTTTGTATGCTTAAGTGAATCAAAGTGATGGATTGATTTAGTAAGTGACTCAACAATTCAATTGAACAGATCTCCTTATGAGCCATGTGATTTAGAGTATTTTTGCAGTTTTTTCTAAGCTGTTAATAATCTATAAACGGCATCTAAAAACACACACTCACCATTTCAGAATAATCAATTTTTTTTCTTCTACATATGTAACCTAGTTCTATTTTATAAGTAGAAATTATAACCTAACTAAATATTCCAAAGTAAAAACGAAAATAAGAAGGCATAACCAACTCATGAACTGTAACAAACCAATGAAGTAGCAACTGTTATAATGAACATCTGCAATTGCATATATGTGTCATGATAATTCAAATTAACATACACTTGAAAGCAGAGCATAACCAAGTTTCTCGTTTATTTCTTTTTCCTTTTGTTCTCTCTTCCTTCTTTGTTTTCTTTTCTATATTTGTTTCTTTGGCAGAGCTTGCTTTCACAATGAGAGTCAATACTACTACAAAATCATAAATAGATCACAAATTTTAAAGGTGATGTATTTTAATTAATCACAAATTTTTATTTTGTCAAAGTGTGATTTTTAAGAGTGATTGTCAAGGATCATTTTCGATCACACTTTTTGACCGTCTTTAAAAGATAATTCCATCACATATTTTGACCGTGATAATAAATATTTAGATCACAAATTTTAAGTGTGATCAATAATTAATAAAACTTGAGATTAAATTTAAATAAACCATTATTAATAATGAAATAAGATCACAGTTATATTTATTTCTCATCATGATTAGTGCGTGTAATAAAAAAAAAATCCGATCACAAAATGTGACTATCAAACACAATATATCAACCGTGATTAAAATCTAATCATAACCAACATCTAAAATATAATCAATATTATTTGTACAAAAAATTCTTTTGAATCACAACATTGACCACATATGAAAAGCAAATAACCTTAGATATTTCATAAATGAAAGTCTAATGTTGAAAAAAATATATACAAAGAAAGTTAATGTGATGACCGGGTGTGCTACTCGTTTTGTTTTCCCCGTTAAACTTTGGGTTTGCCTTGTTAGGGTGTTGGGTTGGCTTGGAACCTTGTTAATTGATTGGGTTTGTTGCATTCGGGAGTTTTCCTCAAAATTTTCGCTCTTATTTATTCTGGGGTTGAATTTTCACTCGCTTCGAAGGGTGCTAGGTCGGTCCGAAGTGTCTAGTGTTATGAAGAGAAAATTTTGTGTTTGAGGGCTAGGGCCGCACGTGCGGTGAGGGAGGAGTTTTTAGGGTTGCACACTGCATAAAAGGCACGTGAAGAGGAAGGGGCGGAGTGAGGTGCGGGGAGGGACCACCGCACGTGCGAGGATGAAGGCCGCATGTACAGGAAGACACTTCGCACATGCGGGAGAGGACGTCGCACGTGCGAGCCTCTGGGCAGTCCGAAAATCTGTTTTTTTCTTTCCTTTGGACTGTTTGTATATCACTTTTGTTGCATCTCTCTCTCTCTCTACAAACTCTTTTCTCTCCATTCTCTCTGCATTCCTACATCAAAACAAGATCAAATCCTTGATCTTCTTACATCCATTTGAAATTTGCCCATAGCTTCTTCATCAAAGTTAAAGAACTCCTCAAGAGTTACATTGTGTATGGTGGAGATTGGATTTTGGTGCCATCAATTTCTAGGGTTTCATCTCCGTTTCTCCTTCAAAACTTAAGTTAGGGAATTACTTAGAGTTATATATATGTTTTGCAAGTTTTCAGTTGATTTTGAGAGTCCTCCTTTGTTTATTTCGAAAATTGGTTGTTGGCTCAAGAGATTTGATGACCTTATAAAAGAAATCTACCTTTTTTTATTTTTAAAGATCCTCTTGAAATGTTGAACCACATGGGTTTGAGAATGATGTGTTTAGTGAGGTTTTGCAAAAAGATGGGAAAATGTTGGAGTTTTTGTAAAAAAAAAAAAAAAAAACCTAGAAATTAGGGGTTTTTGGAAAAAGTGTGGGAATTTATGGATTTTCTTAGATTAAATGAAGGAGTGAGTGAGAATTTCATATTGTTGTTGCAAATATGATAACTTCTTGATGTATGAGTAGTTGGAGACCATACTTCAATTTATTGTTAAATGCATATACATATGTAGCTATGAATTGGCACATTGTTGAGTTCCATGAATTATGAGAATTGTGATTTGGAACAGTTGCTACGTGTTGATAGATTTAATTAAACACGTGGCATATTGTGAATTAATGTTGAAGGGAGAAAAAAATTGAAATTGTGGTTAACATTGTGTTGTTGTTGAGATACTTAAAGATGGAGATCGTCATGAAACATTATTGATTATTGCATTACATCCTCTTCAATTGATAATTATACATCTTGAATTTGAGTTATGGAAAAGCTTAAATTGGAAAAAAAATATGTTTGAAATGAGAATCATTGAAATATTTTGAAGTAAATACGTTGGTAAGTCCAGATAGGAGGTGTAGATGAAATGGATTAAGTTAGCCTGAGTGTCCGGGGTGAAAGACCGAAAACACAAACGGAGAAGGTACCACTTCCCTTCCAGTTAGCAACCGGTAAAATGGGGTTTTTGGTAGTGCTAGTAAAGCCTACTTGCAGACACCAACCTAGGGATTACCTGAGTCGTATTTACCGCCCCATTGAATAAAATTGTAATTTCGGAATTGTTGAGATTACAAGCTATTGTTGATAATGGTGACTTTTTTTTTTAGGCATGCAATTGAAATCCTCTTTTAATTGGCATTGCATGGCATTTGCATTTAATATTGAAAATCTTGCATAAATGTATATACTTTGTTAAGGATTCTCTACTGGGCTTTATGCTCACCCCTATAGGATTTGGTGCAGGAAAAGATGTGGTGATCCCAGCGAGTTGAGGGCGTGGACATATTTTGTGAAGAGTAAATGACTCTATTTTTGTTATGATCTATTTTGCTAGCCAAGGGCTATAAATGTATGGGTTCGTGAAACCATTTTTGTGTAACTAGGCTGAAGCCTAGGAATATGTAAGCCATTAAGGGCATTTTATTTATTTTTGGGATTTGATGTTCTACATGCTATAGATTCATGTAATTCTATATCATTGAATGTATAATTTGCACGTGAGACTTTTGTACAAACCTTGTTGATTAATGATGTAAAGGTTTTGGAGGGTTGCTATTATTTCTTCAATGGATGTTGGTTGATGTATGTGTTTTGTGTTGGGTTATTTTTGGGACGTTACTGTTAAGAAATAAAAAGTTTTTTTTTTTACTGTGATTACACAATAAAAATCTCATTAAAAAAATGAAAAAACTTAAAGAAAAACTCAAAGTTCTTGAATGTTTTGTCTTCTTTGACCATATTTTGCATCTCTTCAAACAATTTATAAGCTGACTAATGAGAACACAAATTAGTTCAGAGGCCACTAGAAGTATAGGAATAAACTTACTTATTTGTTCAAAATTAAAGAAAACAAAATTTGGAAGAAAAAAAAGCTAAAATATTCATAAGATTGATTAGAGTTTGAATTAATCAACTAGACTTAAAATTAAATGTAAGGGTAACATCATCACAGATACATTAACTAGATAGATAAGGAAAAATCGAAAATTCTTGATAAGTGGTCTATTGACTTGGTGGGACCAAAAGAGATAAATAGAATGTTAATACAGTTTAACAAATCAGAGCTATCAACTTGCAGATGAACCAAAAAATAAATAAATAAATAAATAATAGAAGTATGCAATTGCTTGTATATTTGCAAGTATGATACACATATGAGTACATAATAAACAATAAACGATCTAACAAATAAATCTACAATTCCTGGGCTTCAATTTACTTTGGCTATGTTTCTAAGACATCATTAATTAGCTCAAGTGTTATACTTCACATAGTCGCATAATCTAGGGTAGTTTGAAATGGGGCAAAGGTTGGGTACATAGAAGTAAGGTTTCTCAAATCACCTCCGCTATAGAATATAAAACTAACTTTGCAATTTTAAAAATGTTCACAAGATTCATAGCAGAACCCATAAAGCATGGTGGCGTATCGTGGCCTTGGTATGGTAGGGCAGCTGCAACTAACTTAATAAGGCTCTCTGTTCACAAGATAATGAAAACAAAAGAAAAGTTTCCTACTCATGAATTTTACAAAAACTTATAAAACAATAGTCAACTAGAGCAAATTGACAAGAAACCTAAACCCAGATAATATATATGATAGACTTTATATAAATAGCATATTTGCAATATGGAAGTGCGATAAGCATGGTAGCATACCATCTGCAGTTTGTTTATTCAATGTGTGAGACCATGAAATATCCTCTCACATGGATTGTAGAGAGCCCATGAAGAGATGAACTTTGTCCCTGTATATCTACAAAGATGAGCATGATCAGCGCCACCCAACCGGGGTTGCCGGCCGAAGATACTCCGATGGCAAAGTCAGTCCTTTGATTGAAAGAATAAATGTATATAAATGAAGAGTGTTGGCATGTTATAAGATATTCCTTGCCTCTCCCTGGGATGCCTTCCCTTTTATATCGATGGGGGGGGTATGATATTTGTTTGGGCTAGACCCATTGTAGGCCTTGTTTAGGTTAGCCTCAATAAGCTAATATATATATTTTTTCTGGCTCCCACAATTGCCCCAAAACTGTCATTGTCTTTGGTAGAAGGAATGAGAGTTTTTATTGCTGAGTTATGCTGCTCAAATAGATGTTAAGTCCCTCGACAAAGAAAACATTTGATAATTGATAAAGAAACAACATGAATGAATGAATGACTGGATGAATGCATGTATGTATGAATGTATGTACAAATATATGTATAACTATATGTATATAAGGGAGAGGGGTGAGCTAAAGTCCAATGAGTAATATTAGTAATACTAGTATGAAATTATATCACATGAATTCCAAACAAACTATATCATAAGTAAGGCACCCTTTGGGTCTATATCAGATATCTCTTTAACGATGGGCCACGGTATTGTTACCCCCGGGCGAGGGCCGTAGGCCGCGGTATTATATCCCCTGGGCGAGGGCCGTAGGCCACGATATTATAACCCCAGGGCGAGAGTGTAAGCCGCGGTATTATAACCCCCGGGCGAGGGTGTAGGCCACGGTATTATAACCCCTGGGCGAGGGTATAGGCCGTGGTATTATAACCCCCGGGCGAAGGTGTAGTATATTGTCGAGTGCAAAGATTGCTGCCAAATATGGACTTTCATGCCAAGCTAGAGATATTGTAATGTAGATGTATCAGCCAAAAAAGAGGGAAGCTGTAAAAACTATAAGAATGACGGCGCGCGCAAAAATATGCAAAGAACTGAAGAGTGTGTAGCCAAATGTGTAGTATGAGTGTATTGCCCCAAATCTTTCGCTTGCTTAGAGCTGTGTGAAAAGGAACGGCAGTTTGTAAGTCAAGTAATTGTATTTGTAATGCTTGTACCAAGTAAGCCGAGTATGCATGCATAGCAGAGGTGCCGAGATGATAAACGGTTGATATGCTCCAAGTCGAAAGCGAAAAATGGACTAAGATGTCCCAGTTGGCAATAAATGGCCAAGGTAACGAAATAAATGATTGGGAAGGATGGAGGATTTTTTCCTAGCCCCACGATCCTGCCACTGAAATTGCATGCCGATCAAATATGATGTGACCGTTGAGCAATCTTGTAACGCCCGAACGTTCCAGGTCGTTGATCCCAATATTAAGCACGAAAGGCACAAAATTTGTAGAATTGGACTCCAATGTGATTTCAGAATTGTTGTTGATACTCCGCCGACTGAATTATTGAGGGGAAGTGGGAAATATGTTGAGTACTCAGAAGTTGATCTGTGAATGCAGGCGCTGCCAAGTTCGCAAATCGGAAAAATTGAGTTAGGTTGCTTGGAAATGGACGACATATAGTTCAACCAAGACAATGGGTTGCCGAGAACAGTAGTGACCCAGTTGCAGGTGCATGAATGACGCATATGTTTTGCGCAGTAGGTTTTGATGCAGCTAAACGAAGATTGAACTGCCAAGTTACCAAAGTGAAATCGCTGAGTAAGTGTAAGAGTTGTTCAGTGAGTTAGGCGATGAGCTTTAAGCCGAGTAAAGTGTACCATCACCACATTGAATTGTCATGGAATTAGTTGTAAAACTGCTTCCATTGTCATGAACATATAACATTGGATCGCCATTGCCCCATTGCTGGCGAATGACGTTTTAAGCCAAAATTTCCGAATGATGCGGGTTGTGATAGTGGCAGGAAGACGCCAAAATTGTTGAATTCGACATTGATCAAATGCCAAGCTTGGCGGCAAAAATGTTGTTTGAGCTGCAATATGTGGCATTGCATACAAAATCTACAAATTTTGGGTATGAAATTTGCAAAATCAGACCGTACGGATGTGTTCAGAAGGCTCCAAATAGTTGGAAACAATTATTGGATCTTTGTAATCAGACTTCGGATGGCGGCGTTGTAGCCAAAATGGATCTGACGGCTCAAATTGGTGAGGACTGGTGCGCCGCGAAGCACTAGATAATTGTTCTAATATATGCTGAGTGGGACGGCTCGGCTCAGTGTCTTTGGCAAAAAATAAGAAATAAAAAAATAAGGACAGTTGCCCTAATATATGTTGAGTGGGACGGCTCGACTCAGTATATTTGGCAAAAAATAAGAAATAAAAAATAAGGAAAAATGCTGCTAATAAGACTTGAACCCTTGCCGCTGTGAGAAAGCTTAATATTTTAACCACTTTGCCACCTCAAATCCTTGTGCATATATTTTGCACATTATATAGTTGAACTTGATTGGTTGGCTATGACATGATGTAACTTAGCCACAATGAAAGAACTTCATGCCCTTCATCCCTCTATCCAAACAACTGTTCCTCACCGCTTGTAGTTACAAACCAACAATGACATCCTTAGCAGAGAGGCTTTCCAACCAGTTTGTTCCGTTCCATGTCCTGTTTGTCTTTCTCATGATCCTTGAATTGGTCTCTTCTTTTAATTTTGCTACTTATGCTGCTTCTGCAACTACTAAAGTTGAAGAAGACGGAACTGAAGCTGTGGCTCTCTTGACGTGGAAAGCTAGCCTTGACAACCAGAGCCAATCTCTCTTGTTCTCATGGGCTGGAAGCAATCATTGCAATTGGGTTGGAATCGGTTGCAATAATGCTGATAGAGTCGCCCACATAGACCTTGAGAGTAATGGCTTAAGAGGTACACTTTCCAATCTTAACTTCTCTTCCTTCCCTCAACTCCTCAGCCTTAAACTTCATAACAACTCAATCTACGGGACCATCCCCTCGAAGATTGGTAGCCCTATAACACTCACCTACCTTGACTTGTCCAGGAATTATCTTTCAGGAACAATTCCATCAGAAATAGGAATACTCTATTCTCTCACAATTTTGTTTCTTTATGATAATCAACTTTCTAGATCCATCTCTCAAGAAGTTGGAATGCTAAGGTCTCTAATTGAACTTGAATTGTCAACAAACAATTTCACAGGTTCAATCCCTGCTTCTATAGGGAACTTGGCCAACTTGACCATTTTACGCCTTTTTGAAAACCGTCTTTCTGGATCCATCCCTCAAGAAGTTGGAATGCTAACGTCTCTCACTGTCCTTAGTTTGCATACAAACAATCTCACAGGTTCAATCCCTGCTTATATAGAGAACTTGACCAAATTGACCATTCTATACCTTTATAAAAACCAACTTTCTGAATCCATCCCCCAAGATGTTGGAATGCTAAGGTTTCAAATTGAACTTAATCTGTCAACAAACAATCTCACAAGTTCAGTCCCTACTTCTATAAGGAACTTGACTAACTTGACCATTCTATTCCTTTATAAAAACCAACTTTCTAGATCCATCCCCCAAGATATTGGAACGCTAAGGTCTCTAATTGAACTTGTATTGTCAACAAACAATCTCACAGGTTCAATCCCTGCTTCTATAGGGAACTTGGCCACCTTAACCATTTTACACCTTTTCAAAAACCATCTTTCTGGATCCATCCCTCAAGAAGTTGGAATGCTAACGTCTCCCATTGTCCTTAGTTTGCATACAAACAATCTCACAGATTCAATCCCTGCTTCTATAGGGAACTTAACCAACTTGACCATTCTATGCCTTTATGAAAACCAACTTTCTGGATCCATCCCCCAAGATGTTGGAATGCTAAGGTTTCTAATTGAACTTGATTTGTCAACAAACAATCTCACAAGTTCAATCCCTGCTTCTATAGGGAACTTGACTAACTTGACCATTCTATTCCTTTATAAAAACCAACTTTCTGAATCCATCCCCCAAGATGTTGGAATGCTAAGGTCCCTAATTGAACTTGAATTGTCAATAAACAATCTCACAGGTTCAATCCCTGCTTCTATAGGGAACTTGGCCAACTTGACCATTCTACGCCTTTTTGAAAACCGTCTTTCTGGATCCATCCCTCAAAAAGTTAGAATGTGAACGTGTCTGATTGTCCTTAGTTTGCACACAAACAATCTCACAGGTTCAATCCCTGCTTCTATAGGGAACTTGACCAACTTGACCATTCTATACCTTTATGAAAACCAACTTTCTGGATCCATCCCCCAAGATGTTGGAATGCTAAGGTTTCTAATTGAACTTGATCTGTCAACAAACAATCTCACAAGTTCAATCCCAGCTTCTATAGGGAACTTAACTTACTTGACCATTCTATTCCTTTATAAAAACCAACTTTCTGGGTCCATCCCCCAAGATGTTGGAATGCTAAGGTCTCTAATTGAACTTGAATTGTCAACAAACAATCTCACAAGTTCAATCCTTGCTTATATAGGGAACTTGGCCACCTTAACCATTTTACACCTTTTCAAAAATCGTCTTTCTGGACCCATCCCTCAAGAAGTTAGAATGTTGAGGTCTCTAATTACACTTGATTTGTCAGCAAACAATCTCACAGGTTCAATCCCTCTTGAGTTAGGAAAACTAAACTCCCTAACTTATTTCGCTTTGTATGCGAACAAACTGATAGGCTCCGTTCCTTCAAAATTGGACAATCTTACGCATTTGCAAATCTTTGAAATAAGCAATAACATGCTCACAGGTCATATCCTGCCGAGTATTTGCATTGGAGGATTACTTACCAAACTAGCTACAACAAACAACTGCTTAATAGGTGATATCCCAAAATTTTTGGGAAATTACAGTCAGTTGTGTCGAGTTAGGTTTCATCGAAACCAACTCACAGGAAATATATTTGAAATTTTTGGGGTACTCCCAAACTTGGTATATATTGATCTAAGTTATAATAACTTCTATGGTGAACTTTCTAAAAAATTGGGGCAGTGCCATAATTTGACTGGTATAAACTTCTCCAACAATAAAATCTCTGGAAATATACCACTTGAGTTTGGAGATGCAAGTCAGTTGCAACTACTTAACCTCTCTTCAAATCATCTAGATGGAGAGATCCCAAAGAGTGTAGGAAAGTTGGCCTTATTGTTCAGTATTTCTCTGAGTGATAACAAATTTTCAGGCAACATTCCAGTAGAATTTGGCAGGCTATCTAATTTGGAAGATCTAAACTTGGCGGCAAACAATCTAAGTGGATCAGTTCCAATCCAACTAGGGGAGCTTGTGAAACTGTGGAACTTGAATTTGAGCGAAAATCTACTCAGGAAGGATATTCCTTCTGAAATAGGCACATTACAATTTCTTCAAAGCCTTGACCCTGGAAACAATTTGTTTAAAGGTGAGATTCCACAATAGATTGGGGAATTGCAAAGCTTAGAGACATTAAATCTATCCCACAATAAGCTGTCTGGTTCCATTCCATCCTCTTTTAATGGGAGATCAAGTTTGACATCTGTTGATATATCTTATAATCACTTGGAGGGTCCTTTGCCTAACACCAAAGCCTTTCAAGATGCTCCATTTGAGGCATATGTAGGTAATGATGGTTTGTGTGGAAATAAGACTGGTTTGATGCCATGCTCACGAAAAATGAGCAATGGGGCTAAAGACAAAAAACATAACAAAGTTTTGTTTATGGTCTTAGTTCCTGTTTTAGGATTTTTATTACTTGTGGTTGTTGGGAGTTTTCTAGTTCTTCAAAAAAAAAGTGGGAAACAAACAAAATGAGCCTAAAAGAGAAAATATTGAAAATTTGTTTGCAATATGGAGCTATGATGGAAAAATGGTGTACAAAAACATCATTGAAGCAACAGAAGACTTTAATGCCAAACATTACATCGGTGTGGGAGGATATGGCACTGTTTATAAAGCCAAATTGCCAAGTGGTCAGGTTGTTGCTGTGAAGAAACTTCACTCTTCACAAGTTGGTGAGTTGGATAACCTAAGGAGTTTTACAAGTGAGGTTCGTGCATTGGCAGAGATACGGCATCGTAATATCATAAAGCTTTATGGTTTTTGTTCGCATCGACGACACTCATTCCTAGTTTACGAGTTCATGGAAGGGGGGAGTTTGGGAAAGATATTGAGCAATGAGAAAGAAGCATTAGATTTTGAGTGGAGGAAGAGATTGAATGTTGTTAAAGGTTTGGCAGATGCTTTGTCATACATGCACCATGATTGTTCGTCTCAGATCATCCATCGCGATATATCAACCAAGAATGTTCTACTAGATTCGAGATATGTGGCTCACATCTCTGATTTTGGCACTGCTAGACTTATAAAGCCTCAATCATCTAATTGGACTTTGTTTGCAGGAACCTTTGGATACGCAGCTCCAGGTATGGCATGATTTTTCTTCAAATCAACAAGTAATTTTTTTTTTTTTTACCTACTTTTATGGCACAGTTTTCTCTAAATCGGCATGCAAAGCCTTTTCTACTATTCTTCTTCTTCTTAATTTTCCATGAACAAACTGTATTTTCTTTTTCTTTTTCTTTTTTTTTCCCCACTATCCCTCTATTTTCTTTGGTTTGTTTTTATGTCAGAACTTGCTTACACAATGGAAGTGAATGAGAAGTTGGATGTTTATAGCTTTGGAGTTTTAATCCTAGAAGTTTTAATAGGGAAGCATCCAGGCAATCTCATCTTGTATCTTTCCTCATCACCACCCACTGTCTATGGTGTATTGTTGAAAGACATATTGGATACGCGCCTTCCATCTCTTGGGAATCATGTGGAAGAAGAAGTGGTCCTTGTTGTGAAGCTAGTATTGGCATGTTTACACACCAGTCCACAGTGCCGACCAACAATGCAACAAATTTTTTATGGCTCTATCAAAACAGAGACCACCTCTGCAGAATTCATTCCACTTGATTTCATTAGGACAACTCTTCAATGTCAAATGTTCAACCTCCTGAGCATTCTCCTCTTCCCTTTATTGTTTTGTGTTTTTGTTTTTCCATTTTTACTTTGAAATTTTGATTTCCGTTCTGTTTGTTATCTATTTCTATGCCATTTTCTGTGTTCAAAGTTGAAAACACATTGAAATACTGTTGGTAAATAAAAACTCGTTCCAAAGGACAGGTGTGAATAAGATGAAGAGAAGGCTACTTGGTTACGTAGCTTTTTATCCTTATGATATGTTTGGCTACAATGTTGTGATCCCTTTTTGTTTTCCTTTCCTGTAAATGTTTTGTATGCTTAAGTGAATGAAAGTGATCAATTGATTCTGAAGTAACTCAACAATTCAATTGAATGGATCTCCTTATGAGCCATGTGATTTAGATTATTTTTGCAGTTTTTTCTAAGCTGTTAATGATCTATAAGCGGCATCTAAAAACACACTCACCATTTCAAAAAACAAAAAAAAAAATCTACTTGTGTAACCTAGTTCTATTGCATAAGTAGAAATTATAACCTAACTAAATATTCCAAAGTAAAAACGAAAATAAGAAGGCATAACCAACTCTTTTGAACTGCAACAAACCAATGAAGTAGCAGCTGTTATAATGTACATCTGCAATTGCATATATGTGTCATGATAATTCAAATTAACACACACTTGAAAGCAGATCATAACCAGGTTTCTTGTTTATTTCTTTTTCCTTTTGTTCTCTCTTCCTTCTTTGTTTTCTTTTCTATATTGGTTTCTTTGGAAGAGCTTGCTTTCACAATGAGAGTCAACACTATTACAAATCATGAATTTTAAGTGTGATGGATGTTATTTAATCACAAGTTTTTAAGCGTGACTTGTAAGAGAGTGATTATTAATCACAATAAAAATCTCATTAAAAAAATGAAAAACTTAAGGAGAACTCAAAGTTCTTGAATGTTCTGGCGTCTTTGACCATATTTTGCATCTCTCCAAGCAATTTCTAACCTAAATAATGTGGGAATAAACTTACTCATTTGTTCAAAATTAAAGAAAACAAAAATTGGAAGAAAAAAAGATCTAAAAAGTTCATAAGATAGATTAGAGTTTGAATTAATCAACTAGACTTGAAAATATAAGGGTAACATCATCACAGATACATTAACTGGATAGATAAGGAAAAATATAAAATTCTTGATAAGTGGTCTATTGACTTGGTGGGACTAGAAGAGATAAATATAATGTTAATACAGTTTAACAAATCAGAGCTATCAACTTGCAAATGAACCAAAATAAAACAAAATAAAATAAAAAATAGAAGTATGCAACTGCTTGTATATTTGCAAGTATCATACACATATGAGTACATAATAAACAATAAATGCCATATCATAATTCAAATGTATCCATTTTTGAAATGTATCACTTTACTTTTCTAATCTAACAAATAAATCTACAATTCCTGGGCTTCAATTTACTTTGACTACGTTTCTAAGACATCATTAATTTGCTGAAGTATTATACTTCACATAGTCGCATAATCTAGGGTAGTTCGAAATGGGGAAAAGGTTGGGTACATAGAAGTAAGATTTCTCAAATCACCTCGGCTATAAAATATAAAACTAACTCTGCAATTTTAAAAATGTTCACAAGATTCTTAGTAGAACCCATAAAGCATGGTGGCGAATCGTGGCCTAGGTATGGTAGGGCAGATAATGAAAACAAGAGAAAAGTTTCCTACTCATGAATTTTATAGAAACTTATAAAACAATAGTCAACTAGAGCAAATTGGCAAAAAACGTAAACCCAGATAATATATATGACGGCCTTTATATAATAGCCTATTTGCAATATGGAAGTGCCATAAGCATGCTAGCATACCATCTGCAGTTTGTTTATTCAATGGAATCTGCAAGATTGGCTGCTATACACCTCCACTTCAAGCAATCATCACAACACACCCAAAAAAACAAATAAAACAGACAAATTTAGTAAAATTATAAGCTGTGACAACACAGTCAAAATACATGTCTCATAATATCAATAAAAAGTAGAAATAAAACAAGTTCTTGCCCTCCTCCGAATGACCAAACTCTCTAACTCCAATCTACCACAAAAACAAGGAAAGAAAATAGTTAATATCTTACCAAACAAAGAAAGAAAATAGTTGAACTCTTCAACTTCAAAGGGTCTTCCTATGGTTGTTCCATGGTTTTGGCCCGAATAACCTATTTTCGGGGCCCAAGTGTTATAAAAATGCAAATTCCGACTTAGTTTTCAAATTCGGAATTTTGTGCATTATCTGTAAAAATTTACAACTTACATTGGTCCCTTCGGAGTTGTTCGTGAAGTTTTTCAGGCCTTCTTATGACTTCTTGTGGCTATTTCACAGTTTTATCCCACAATGGCCCTATTTTTGAGCTTAAGTGTTGGAAAACATATATATTTTGCCCAAAATTTCAAACCAGAAATCCCATGCATAAACCGTAAGTTTTAACAACTTAATTGGTCCCTTTCGAGGTGTTCATGAAGTTTTTTGGGCCTTCCCATGGCTATTTCATGGTTTTGCCCCCCAATGACATTTTTTTCGAGCTCAAGTGTTAGAAAATTACAAATTTCAACCTAGTATTCTCTTATTCCTTCTCTTTTATTTTTTATTTTTTATTATTATTATTATTATTATTGTTATTATTATTATTATTATTATTATTTATTTCTATTGTTTTTTCCTTGAAGTGTGTTAAGGATCACTTTTAAAGTCATTCTGCATAACACTAGGAAAACAGATAACACATAAGACCCAGAGAACGTACAAACTTATAATCAAAAGTCAGAAGGTTGAAATGATGTTAAGCAATTATGTTAAACAAAATCCATACTTACAATTATGTCAAGAACTCACCTGGTATCATTATTGAAGAATTTGCAACCTACAAGTAATAGTAATGTAATAAGTATTTAAAACCACAAATACATTTGCTATGTTACTTAAGAAAATTTAAATAACATCAAATTATGCAACCCATTTATTTATGGCCAGAAAGTTAAACAATAAAGGGGGGGGGGGGGGGGGGGGGGGGAAGTTATTCACCACCAGGATGTGAACAAAATATAAATCTACTTAGACTGACTAAAGCAATGAATCGAAGACACGATCATAAAAGGTCTAATGAAAAATTACAATGAATCTAGAGACATCATTGTTTTGTCCCTCATTGCTCTAATAATACACCAATAAAAAAGAAAATACCACAAGATCAAAATCCGCAATAATAACCAAAACTGAAAATTAGACTAGAACAAGACATTCTAATTTGTGACCTTGCAACTGTCAGGAAAAAAAAAAAAAAAACAGAAAATGTTTATACAAAGCATCAAAGCAATAACCAATAAGCGTGTGTTTAATGAAGTTCAACCCCAGTTTGATGTGCTGTGGGAGTTGATCAAAGTGCAAACAGTGTGTTTCTTTCACTAAGACATTATAAACTCAAACCCTTGGTTATTGTAGGAAATATGAAGTTAAATACAAACACATGCAAGAAAATCAAAGCCATTACATTGTAGTTCAAGGAAGTAAATAAATAAACATCTAAAGCACATATGAGTACATAATAAACAATAAATGCCATGTCATATTTCAAATGTATCCATTTTTTAAATGTATGACTTCTACTTCTTTACATCCATAAGACTCGTGGAAACATGGTGTTTGTTAAGAATAGGAACATGTTTATATTTTTTTTTAAAAATGAAAAAGAAAATAGAAGAAACAGGGGAAAAAGCTCACTACCTATACAAACAACCACAATAATTGTTTTTCCATTATACACTAAAAAAAGGGAAAAGAAAAAAAGAGAAGCATTAATTACATGTTACCTTCCTCTTTGATAGTTGGCAATTGCTATGGCAATGTCCATGAAATTGATGGCCAAAACTGAATAACAAAAAACAGAGAAATGGTTATAAATTAGTGATAGAGTTTGTGAATATAACAAATACTGAACCTAATAACAATAATAATAATAATGTTTTCTCAAAGATGAGCTAATAGTTTCTCAAATCCTCAAACATCAAAACTTTTAACTAAAACCTAATAACAATAACAACTATAATAATAATCTGTAAAATCAAATTTACAAAAGGTAAAAACAAAAATCAGATTAAAAGCAAAGCCTGTACATGTGAATATGTTATATATAAATCTCTAAATGTTCCTTCAAATCAAATAAAGAATGGGTCCTATTCTCATATGCAAACAGAGTTTTTCAACAAGTTGACATACCTAAACGACAATATGCTTCATGAAAATTTTTCATCATTGGTTTAGTATATGATATTTTATTATATGTGTAATTTAAGGGTAGAATTTTTTTTATGATAATCTTTATGATATTTTTTTCATGATCCCTAACATTACTCTTTCATTGTTATTTAGTGACATCCATTTTCAACTTTCTAAGCTTATGCACCCTTTTTATACTCTAATAAATTTACGGACACACAAGACATACAAAAACAAATTACTTAAAAAAATTGTGTTCCAAATTCCACTATTGTATGGTGAAATCCACATTTGGAATGAATGTACATCACACACTGCTTTTTCTTCATATTTTTTTGGTACGAATTTGATGTAGGTAGGCCAAAAGTACCACATTGAGGCCACTTAAGTTATACTTATAGCATTGAATTATGATTAATTGGTGAAGATGACGTGTTTTGTGTACTTGTGCAGATTTGACAAGCAACACGTAAATTCAAGCGAAAAGTGGCACAAAAGCAATTCTCTATGCAAGCAATGACATTTCTCAGCCTGCCATCTCACCACCTGTGCAGCCAGACTTCACCACACGTGCAGCCCATCACTGCTCGAGTGGAAAATGTGGGCGCTCGAGCGGCCAACCTAGCAACACGTGCACGGAATTTTGACTCGTAGCCTTTTTAACTTGAGTTATTAAGCCCGTAGGAGTGTATCTACACCTAGTGCCCTAAAATCGTTTTGTTTGGGAGTCATTGGCTCAATGCTTGTTACATGGGTTGATTAGAACTTAATAAATCAGAACATTGCACAATCTTAAAAAATAAAAAACAAACAAAAAAAATTGAGAATCCTGGTTGCAAAAGTTTAGTTTTTTCTGTATGTCTTGGATGTTATTGTGAGTTACACTGGGCTATTATAATGGACAGTTAACTAGTTATGAGGATTGCACTTTACACCAAGGGCACTTATGATGTGTTTTACTAGCATTCACAATCACAAGGAACTTAACTTTTGTAATATTGAATTGTGGTTTTTTCTCAATAGATTCCTTTATGCTTGTCTACTGTACCTTCAATGACTCATCATGTCTTAATATCGCACTATAGTTGGCACATAAGTTAATTCTTAGCTGGAGAAGTGTGGTTAATTGTTGTTGGGCAGATGTGAATATGTTGATATTTGTGGGTATCATTTCTGAAAACCCTCACGAGATTATACTCGTCTACTTGGGGTAACTTTGTGGTTTAAAGGCTTGTTACGTATGCTAAATGCAATCGTGATCCCTACTAAAATGGCTTTGAGTTATTTCATTTTCCTTATTTCTTTTGTTTTGCTCGAGAACTAGCAAAATGTAAGTTAGGGGATGTGATGTAGGCCGAAGGTACTACATTGAAGCCACTTAAGTTACATTTATGGTCTTTGAATTATAATTATTTAGTAAAGATGATGTGTTTTGTATACTTGTGTAGATTTGGAAAGCAACATGCAAATTCAGGCGAAAAGTGACACAAAAGCAAATTCTTCGTGCAAGTAATGAAATTTCTCAGACTGCCATCTCACCGCACGTGCGGCCAGACTTCACCGCATGTGCGGCCCATCACCGCTCAAGCGGAAAATGTGGGCGCTCAAGCAGCCAACCTAGCGACACGTGCGCAGAATTTTGACTTCGTCTAACTGGGAATAAAAGAAGAAAAAAGAGGCTGGAATAGGGTTCTGAAAATTTCCAAAAGAGAGGAGGGGCTAGGGTTTGAAGAGAAAGGTTTTCAAGCTTTAAGAACATCTTCCATGGGGGTTTCCTCTTCCTCTACCTCTTCCTACTCTTTCATGAGTGGCTAGTTCTTCTATTTCTAGGGTTTTGATGAATCCCTAGCCACGTAAATAGGGATTTCTTTTTGGTTTTTAATCATGTAATTGTTTGAACAAGTTGTATGGTATTTAAGAAATTTTTAAATATATTTTCCATGATTTTCTTCAAGTATTATACTTTCTGTGATTGTTGAATGCTTTCCATGCAATGGTTTTTTGTTCTTTCATATTCAAGATATGAGATGAGCGATACTATAACGGACGAGTCGTGTTGCTACTCTAACTTAGAGCGAACAACTACTTGAGATGGTTCGTGCCTATATATTGAACGTGACAATTCTCTTGATCAATGCTTCAAACTTGTAGTTGTGAAGTATTATTTAGTTTGAATCGTACACAATTGATTTCCAAATTGAGACCTTATTCATGTAGCTAGTGGTGAATTAAATACCCTATGTTTTTCCCAAAATTACTATCTTCAATTTCAATTTTAATTGCTAATTTAATCTCTTAGTTTCTTTTAATTATTATTAGTCTATGAACCATCATCTTGGTGATCAAAATTAATTTAGGAATTTAACAATTAAATTAGTTTAATTTCACATTTGTCCCTATGAATCGATACCTAGACTTACCATTTTTCTAAGGAATTTGGTATAGTTTAGTGTTTATTTTTGGTGTGTAAAACGACCCAATAGAATTCTAAGTCCATAGCAGTTCTATTTCTGATACTATATTATGGCTCTTCCTGTTTTTGATACTATGGCTCTTCCTTTTGTTTTTTTAGGTAATAAAAATGGATATGTAGATAGGTTACTTCACATATTTGCCAAGGAATATTGCCCCTTATCACCCATAGCGCATCTACAATGAACCCCACCGCATCTATGTCAGGGCTGCACCTAAGGTCTCGTGTGCTCTGGGCGCTAAGAAGTATGTTTAACCCCAACAAAGGGTTATGAAAACTCAAAATCAGGCTTTGAACGAGTAATTCAAAAGACTTACTACTGAACTAACCCTATTGGTATGGCTTTTCCTTTTGTGCATATCCACATTTTGATCTCACCTAGTGTATTTCTTTTGTTGAGGCTTTTTTTTTTTTTTTTTAATTAAAAATTTGGGGGTTGAGGTTCACGTGTTTTAAATCCATGTAATGCATTTAATAAAATATCATAGTTACAGACTTTTTTATTATAATTTTTCATCACTTATTCACAATAAAAATGGATTTCATACTATGTGATAATGTGAGATTCATTGTGAGTAAGGGATACAAAATATTATTAAAAAAAAGGGGCACTTACCAATAGGTCTCATATACAAAGTTTAAAACCTATTTAATCCTAAAACAAAATACTTGTGCCAATTAGTGTTATACATTTTTAATTGTTATAAAAAAATTCTATTTTTTGTTTTTTTAATTTAAAGATGCTACTACATCCCACAATCATTGGGTTTTCGTCAAAGATCACCAGAGGCTCGTCGAAATGTTCAACATCATCGGGAAGTGGCTGGAGTATCGTCAGAAATTCACCAAAGCTTTTCCAAAATGTTCTGAATGTCACCTGAAGTCATAAAATGTCTAGAATGTTCGTTGGATTAAGAACATCGTCGGAGACTCACTGGAATGTTCAAAATATTGTCGGGAAAAAAAATGAAGAAATAAGAGTGAAAAAATATAGCAAAATGTGTTAAATATGGTTAAATTGAAAGAGAAAAAAAAATGTAACAACAATTAACAGCAACAATGAGGAAAAACATAAGTTATTTTTCAATTTTTGTAGGGTTTAAGCAAATAATCTCCTATATTAATCAAACTGAAAAGCAAGCTTTGAAACTATAAAATTAAGTTTCAAAGCATGATTCTATTAAGTATTTCTTCTTATTAATCAAACTGAAAAATATGTTATGAAACCATTAAATTTTACAGTTTTAAAGTATGTCATTAAATTGCAAAATTTTACAATTTTAAAGTATGATTCATTTCAATACTAAAAAAATTGAAATTCAAAAATTTTACAATTTTCACCACCTATGACTAAAACTTCACTACAAAAAATTTCGGGTTTTTGCGATGGTATGGTGTCATCGCCAATACTCTTAATGCCGTCTCAAAAAAGTTTTAGTGACGACAAATGACTTTTAGCGACGGCAAAAGGGGGTCACAACAAAGAGCATTGTAAAAACCTTTTAGCGACAGTCGCTGTCTTTTTTTTGCGACGACAAATGTTACCTTTTGCGACGACAAATGTTACCTTTTGCGACGGCACCGTTTTACCATTGCTAAAAGTTCTATTTGAGACGACAAAAAATACTATCGTGAATGGTTTTTTTTTTTTTGCAACGGCATGCCCACCGTCGCTAAAAGTTTTATTTGAGACAATAAAAAATGTTGTGAAAAAAAAAAAAAAAAAACTGTAATATAATTATTAAAAATATTAAAATTACTTGTTTTTTGCGACAGTGTGGTGCTGTCACAAAAAAAAATAAAAAAATAAAAAATCCTACAATAAAATTATTAAAAATATTAAAATTACCTGTATTAAATGAAAAAACAATTGAAAAAGAAACAATAACTGCATAATAATATAAAAATTCCTGCATAGAAAAAATAATTTCTCCATAACAAAAATATTCTTGCATTCATAACTACACATCAACAAAATTATCCCACTACATAATGTTTCATAATACATATATAATGCTTAAATACATAATGTTGTTCATAATTCAAAATAACATAAACCAAAATTACAAGTTTTGCTCGTCATTCTCTCTGGGTAACAAAAACATAATTTAGTTGCATTCTTCACATACATGCATTCCACAAGAAGCAAACTCCTCAAGAAATATCTGAAAACAAAAAATAAAAATAATTAATGACAATATAATTATGTGTTAATATGTTAATTACAAAAAAAAAAAACATAAAAATTTAACTACTATACAATTACAAAGATAATTAAGTAAATAATTTTGCCTAGACCAAAATTCGGCTCTAACTCCCAAACCGGGAACCCAATTCAAGTCCTGTCTTCTCCCACAAGTTTCTCGTGCCTAGGAGATCGTGTGTGCCAAGTTTCGTGCTACTTCAATGCCGTCTGGTGATTTTGGGGTGTTAACGCCTCGAATTCTAAATTTCTTAAGAAACTAGTTTGTTTCTTAAGAGTGAAACCCGACTCTTAACTCCCAAACCGGGAATTCGATTCGAGTCCCGTCTTCTCCCATAAGTCTCTCGTGCCTAGGCGGTCGTGTGTGCCAAGTTTCGTGCTACTCCGACGCCAGTTGGTGATTTTGGGACATTAACATCTCAAATTCTAAGTTTCTTAAGAAACTAGTTTGTTTCTTAAAAGTGAAATCCGGCTCTAACTCCTAAACCGGGAACCTAATTTGTATCTCGTCTTCTCCCACAAGTCTCTCGTGCCTAGGCAGTCGTGTGTGCCAAGTTTCGTGGTACTCTGACACTCTTTGGTGATTTTGGAGTGTCAACACCTCGAATTCAAGTTTCTTAAAGAACTAGTTTGCCTAGAGTGAAATCCGACTCTTAACTCCCAAACCGGAAACTCGATTCGAGTCCCGCCTTCTCCCACAAGTTTCTTGTGTCTAGGTGATCGTGTGTGCCAAGTTTCGTGCTAATCCGATGCCGTTTGGTGATTTTGGAGCGTCAACATCTTGAATGCTAAGTTTCTCAAGGAACTAGTTTACTTAGAGTAAAATTCGACTCTAACTCCCAAACCGGTAACCCAATTTGAGTCCGGTCTTCTCCCACAAGTTTCTCATGCCTAGGCGGTCGTGTGTGCCAAGTTTCGTGCTAATCCGACGCTGTTTGGTGATTTTGGAGTATCAACACCTAGAATTCAAGTTTCTTAAAGAACTAGTTTGCCTAAAATGAAATCCGGCTCTAACTCCCAAACCGGGAACCCGATTCGAGTCTCGTCTTCTCCCACAAGTTTCTCGTGCCTAAGCAATTGTGTGTGCCCAGTTTCGTGCTAATCCGACGCCGTTTGGTGATTTTGGGACGTCCACACCTCAAATGCTAAGTTTCTTAAGGAACTAGTTTGCTTAGAGTGAAATCCGGTTCTAACTCCCAAACCGAGAACCCAATTTGAAACAAATCACCAAGTAATCAAAGCAATGTTGTCAATGGCCTAGGCAACTCTACACAATGGACCTAGCTGGTTTATACACTTTTGCACAGGTAAAAGAGTTGAACAAGATTATTATTGAATCAGTTTTTACATGAATGATTGTTAAAATAAGGAATATCTTTTCTTTTTATGAGTTCCAGTTATTTTTTAATCTCACAATATTTGATATCTACAGAATCATGCATTTTGTCGAGTGATTTTTATATACCAATTTCCATGTTTCTATGGTGTCAATAACCAATTAAAAATGAATTGGGGTGGTTTGCGGGATTTTCATATATGAAAATTAAAATACTAAGCAAATTTCTCAAAGAAAAAAATGTAAATGAAAAGTAGTTACTGCAGGAAAAAAGGAAAAAGAAACTGAGAGAGAGAGAGAGAGAGAGACTAGTCAAGCAGCTAAAATGATCAAAGAAAACATTGCAGTTCTTAGTTCCTTGACATACCAAATGTTTGCCACCGTCCAAAATCTAAGCTAGAAAGCACAACAATGTGCTTTTTTCCACTAGCAGCAGCAAAATCAGCCACATTCTTTGCAAATTCAACCATCATCCGCTGTTTAATCATCCGCTTAGAACTTTAGAGTCAATTTGTGAAGAAATGAAAATGAAGACACTATCTCCTAACGAAATGGAAACAAGCATACATCAAATGAAAAATAACCCTATGGCAAATCTACGCCACATGGTACACTTCAACTATGAACAAAAAACTATCCTTGATGGTGAATCACCACAAGTTTGAGTACATAGTTAAGCAATTGAAGAGACGAAAAAAAAAATACTTGACTTTGGAAAAAATCCAAATGCTAAAAATAAATTTAATTCATTCGCTAAGGATAAAAATAAAAAATAAAAAAGGATCATAAATCTTTACCAAAAGATAGAACCTCAACAAGAAAGATGGATACCTCACATTGGCATGTGGGCGATCAAATATTTCACATTGATTGATGGTAGGCATTGAACCATGAAGAGGAAGAACAAGAAACTTGCTAGGATCTCTAAGTAAACTGTTTGCTTTAATTTTTTCAAGTAGCTTAGAAATGTCATCCCAACCAGTGAGGAATACAAGAATGGCTCCATCACTTTCATGACGATAGATGTGTTCTATTGTTGATTCCACCTACAAGAGATTAATGTATCTTTTAGGCAAAGAAGCATTTTCAAGGTAAGAATTAACACCAATATGACTTGTGAGAACCCTCTAATATGTTCCAAGAGCTTTATAAGTATGTTCAACAAATAAATGAAAATGTTACTAGCTTAAAATTGTTCAATGATGCAGCTTAAACCTTATACACATTTTTTTTTTTTCCCTAACAAATAAATTTTTACTTCAAACTAATCTGAAGAATTTTAAATGCAACAAATAGAATTAATAATACAACAATGATTCATCCCACTAAAAACATCATCACTAATAGCACTAATGCATTAAAAAAGCAAAAAAAAAAAAAAAAAAAAATACAACTCCAAGACCAAAACATCACATCATTAATAGCGGGACCCACTGCCACCTAATTAGTGGGAGCACTAATTAGTGCTCCCAAGCATTTTTCTTAATAATAATAATAATAACAGCACCATGATGCCCAAAGTTCCAACATCATATTTCTCTTAGTTTCCTACAAATAAAAAAGGGTTGTACTCAATGCATAAGGTTCCCTGCTCACAACAGGGTCTAGGATAGGAATAAGTGGGCAACCTTCCCCAAACTGTTTGTAGAGAGGCCGATTCCAGGATTCGAACCCACTCCACAACGTTGGGAATCCTAGACACCCCTCAAACTTGTTTAAATTAAAGGAGTAGCCTTCTTATAAATATTAGAAAGCCGATCCAATGGGTCTACCCAAACACATCTATTTGTGGGTCTTTTTTTACTTTATTTGCAATATTTCTTACATAGTTGAATGTTCAATATGATGTCTCTACTCTCTTGTTATTTGATTTAGCTTAGTATTTTTGCTAACCAAAGCTTGAAGCATTCCTAATCACCACCTTAAAATTTAAAGAAACACAAAAAAGGAAAAAAACTAAGCACCATTCATTTTCATTCATATAATCCTTGAAGCCTAAAAATTTCCACAGACAATAGAAAGGTATAAAAAAATAAATAAAACAAAATTCTAAAAAATATCAAACAACAAAAGGTCAAAAATCAGAACAAGACAAACCTGAGATCGTTATGAAGACAGATACAGAACATGTAATTCAACTCTTCAAAGGAGAAACACTATCCAATTTCCTCAAAGAGCCCTCACTGAAAATGCAAAGTTTCTCATGGATAGGTGCAAGTGTCCTCTCAAAATATGTATTCTGCACTGATGTAATGAAACTTCTCATGATGCCATCATATAAAGGGCTCCATATTACATCACCATGAAGCAAGCATGCAAAATATGTTTTTAAACAAATAGTCCGCAGTTAGAATGCATGCAATCATTTCATTTAAACAAAAACATATCAGTGAGATCATAATGTGTTTTAGCTACACTTCTCATCAACTAAACCCAACTGATGGGATATGTTAAAAAGAGATTACTACTAACATGATTTAGAGACTTGAACACGAATGAATAGTCTACAGTTAGAATGCATACAATCATTTCATTTAAACAAAAAACATATAAGTGAGATCATAATGTGTTTCAGCTACACTTCTCATCAACTAAACCCAACTGATGGGATTGGTAGTAATTTGGAAATCATGAATTTACAAGCTGTACCTATTTATCAAAATTGGATGAGAACATTGACTTCAGCAGAAAAAGATGAAAATTTATAGTACATCAACGAACTCAAGCAAAAGCTAATATATGTACATTACACAAAGTAGGAAAAATCTGTTAAAAATTTTGTTCATACACTATGTAAGTCTACAAGGCAAATAAACAATAGATGAAAGGCATATAAGAAATATAAAAAAAAAGGATGTAGAGTTGATTTTAGCAGCCAACAAAAGGCTAGATTTTAAAACATGCACAGTTCAATAGATGGAAATGAAATATGAAAGTAGTTTTCTTTACAAACACGACCACATACATAACATACTCTTTAGATTGAACATGATGGCTATTTCCCACATGACACAGAGAGAGAGAGATAAACAGGTGAACACATAATGAAGAAATGCAAAATATACCAGTCACAAAAATGTTGGAATCTTTTTTTTTACTCAAATGACTTGGCAGATGGATATGCACATTATAAATTAAAATCTAATGCCATCATATCATGAACGATTTTAGATGCAATCTTACCATGAATAATCAAAATGAAAATGGAAAATATATATACTGCTATATATATAAAGAATAGAGTAAGAGAACCTGGGCATTAGTTATTTTTGTGTTAAAAAAAAATATATATATATATATATAGTTGTGGTAATACATATACATGTAATAATTATGTTGTATATATCTACTTCTAGAGAAGGTATATATACACTACGGTACATGAAAATAAAGAGCCTACCCTATCAGCATTGTCCCTAAAATTGGTATATAAAATATTGTTCCTACACTTGAGAAGCTATATTTTGAATAACAGAAATGTAAACATTTACGTATCTCCCTCTCTGAGCATTTGTGGTATTCAATGTTATAAATAAAAATAAAAAAAAATGTTTCTCATCGAGAAGTTATTGGATGTTCTGATTGGTTTGAACATTAGAGTTCACCAATTTTGTTTGTGTTTTAGCCCATATATACAGAGGTTTCCTTTGATAATTGACATGGAATATTGCTCCAAGAACAAGCAATAATTTTTTGTTCTCATCCATGTTCATTATCCAAGCTAAAAAACAAAAACAAAAACACAAACACAACAAATCAAAGCTATAAAAAAGTGATTAATCAACTTACTCTCAGAGCTCAATCACTACAAATCCATACTCAAACCCCAGCGAAATCGAACGAAAAAAATAGTTAAACATAAATAAATATATATAATTTAACAACCCATCAAATTGAACATGAATTCTGAAAAAATAAAGAAGGAACATATTGCATCAATCGATAAAAACTGATACAGAGAAAAATTCAAAAATAAATAAATAAATAAAGCCGAAATTGATTAGAGAATAGGGGCTAAAATTCGAAAGAAGAAATCAAAGAGAGTACATTCAAGATTCTTACCAGTCATATTACTGTGAGAGAAAGATAGAGAGAGCGAAGAGACCGATCAGTGCTTGTGAAGGGGCTAGGGAAAATATAATATATATATATATATAAATGTTAGGGTTTACTGAGAGAAAAACAGAAGGATATACACACCAATTATTATGGAGAGGCCGGTAATGACGAGAAGCCATGCTCATCGGCGAATTGCACGAAGATGAGTTGCGTGAAGGTGGGGTGGGGAGAACTCAAGAAAATGATGAATCTCACGAAGAAAGGCATTAGAGTTGAGCGTGCAAAAAGAGAGAGGGAAAACGAAATCAGAGGAGGTAAAAAATTCGATCATTGGGAAATTTGGGAGGGAGGTAAAACATCGAGATCTGTTTGGTTGATTTTCGTTTTAAAAATGTATTTTTGAATTTTTTAAAATTGTTTGGTTTTAATTTTTTTTATTCAATTTTTTGAAAATTGAGTTTTTTATTTATTTTTTGTTTTTTATTTTTTTTTTAGTGAATTTTTAAAATTTTAAGCAATTTTTATTTTTTTTATATTTTTACATACATACTTAGATGTATTTAAAAAATAAAATATTTGTCTAAAAAATTTTTGAAAATTAATAAATGCACAAGAATACGAAAAATGTATTAAATTATAGAATTTAGTGAATTTTATAAATAAAAAAAAAATATTCACAAATATTATATTTTTAAAGTGTATTTATGTGGGGTGTATTTAAAAATTAAAAAAAATGCTTAGAATATTAAAAAAAAATTAGTGAAAACATAAAAAAAAATAAAAATAAAAAACACACACATAAAATAAAAAATTTCAATTTTCTAAAAAATAAATATTGAAAATCTATACCAAACAAACTGATCATATCTTTCGTAAAATTATATAAAATTGACAAGTATGGTAGTTTTGATTTTTTAAATTTTTTCACGAAACTCATTTTTAGTCTTTAAAAAAAAAAATTGAATCAAGTTTCAGAAAATCAAATCAAACCAAACCTAGCCACCACCTCAACTTTGGAAAGAGTTTCAATTCTCTTAATTTGGTTATGTCAACTTTGGGTTTTGTGGGCTCATTTTGAAACTAATTTCGGCGATCCAAACCATTCACTCTTGTTACAATTTATTGACTAGAAGAGGGGAGGGAGAAAGTGAGAGAGAGACAAAGTGGTTGCTAAAAGTGTATTTTCTTATAATGGGTCGATAAATCGAGAGGGAGCTCGGTAAATAGAGAAGAGGGGAGGGAGAAAGTGAGAGAGAGACAAAGTGGTTGCTAAAAGTGCATTTTCTTATAATGGGTCGATAAATCGAGAGGGAGCTCGGTAAATAGAGAAGAGGGGAGGGAGAGTGTGAGCAAGGCGAACACAGTGGGGGAGAGAGAGAGACAGACAGACAGACAGACATACAAGCAGACAGAGAGAGAAAGAATAGTGATAAGTGAGAGAGAAAAAGAGAAAGAGAGATAGATAGAGAGAGAGAAAAAAAAAAGAGAGAAACAAGAGATGAGTGAGAGATAGACAAAGAAAGAGAGAATGAAAAGAGATGAACGAAAAAGAGACATAGAAAAAGAGAGAAGAGAGATGAGCAAGAGAGATAGAGAAAAGAGAGATGGGCAAGACAGATAGAGAGAGAAGAGAGACATGAAGATAAAAAAATGGGTGAAAAGAGAAATGTTATATCAAAAGAGTAAGACGACGTCGTTTTTTTTTTTTAAAAAAAAATTTGTGACGGAAAAATACCGTTGCATTTATTCAAACCATTTTGTGACTATATATATGAAGCCGTCTCAAAGCTACAATCATTTTGCTTGGTTTGAGTTTTCTAAAAAACTTTTCAGAAAATTCCACATTCTTATTTTCTGAATTTTTTTATTTTTACTGAATTTTTTCTGAATTTTTTTTAATATTTTAAGCAATTTTTAAAATTTTTAGACACATCTAACATAAATACACTTAAACAGTATAATGTTTTTGATTTTTTTTTTATAACAAAATTCACTAAATACCAAAAATACAAAAAAAAAAGAGTACATTTTTCATATTTTTGTGTATTTATTAATTTTTAAAAATATTTTTTCACAAATATTTTACTTTTTAGACTTATCTAAGTAAGATGCATCTAAAAAAGTAAAAAAAAAATTTGCTTAAAATTTAAAAAATATTCACCAAAAACAAGAAAAATACGAAAAATAAAAAACTCAATTCAAATGAATATATATATATATATATTTATTATATATATATATATATATTTGCAATGGTACCTATTACAGTTGCAAAAAACTCACTTTTTTTTTTGCGACTGCAGCTAGTGCCGTCGCAAATACTCTCATTTTTTGTGACAACAATTTATGTCGTCGCAAATACTCTCACTTTTTGCGACAGCAATTTCTGCCGTCGTAAATACTCTTCTTTTTTGCGACAACAATTTCTGCCGTCGCAAATACTCTGGCTCTGTTTGGAATGGTTTTCAAACTCTGATTCCACCTCTTTATTTGCGTTCGATGTTTGTTTATGATTTTCGAAGTTAATTCCACACTCAGTTTTGAAAACTCTTTCAAAGGCGGGAAAATTTGGACTAACCGGTCGTCCCACCGAACGTCCCATCGGTCGTCCGGCCGGTTGACTGGCCAGTTGACTGGAGCAGTGCAATTTTTATTTATTTATTTATTTTTTTGCAATTGACATATGCTAATTTTTATATATTCGAAAAAAATATTTTTTCAAATTTTTAAAATTTTTGTATGTGTTTTAATAGAATTTTGAGTTGTATGCTTGGTTATGAGTTGTAAGTTTTTGTATCAAATATCATATGTCACATCAAAAATTTCCCACTCAATTCAAAACTCTTTCACCAAACAAAATTTTCACCCTCAAATCATAATTCCAAAACTCACAAACTCAAAATACAACTCCTACTCTCAAATTATAGTTAGAAAAGCTCTACCAAACGCAACCTCTATTTTTTTGCGACAGCAAATAGTGCCGTTGCAAAAAGTGACCTTTTCCGCAACAACAAGTTGTGCCGTCGCAAAAAGTCACTTTTTGAGACGGCAAGTGTACCGTCGCAAATGCTTCCGTCTTTTAAGCTCACTTTTCTTGTAGTGCTTGAAAAAAAACTCATTCAAAACTTGAAAATTTCTCCATTAAAACAGAAAAAAAGAAAAGAAAAGAAAATAAATGCGTAGCAGAGAAAATGTAGAAAATTTGAGAGATCAAAGCAGATAGAAAGATATAGAGAGGGGATTGTACTGTAGGAACTATTTTTGGTTTAGATTTGGCCGAATTTGATGTAGATCTGCATTAGATCAAAATAAATCTACTCATTTTCTTCGCCGTCAGTGAGGATGAAATAAAGAGTCGGTGGTTGGTGGTTATCGATGAACCCCAATCGATGATGGTCATCGATTGCTGATGAATGTATATCAAAAAAAGAAAGAGAAAAAGGAAAGAGCCTTAAAACCCTATAATTTGAGCACCAATACATTCCTTCCACATCCCTTAATTAGAGAAGTCATTCGCATCATATAACCTAATGGGATCTACTTGACATAGACAAAGATTGGACCACATCATGGGAGGATCTTGTGAAACTCTCCTAGCTTTATTATAAACAGTGAAAGCAATATCTTTGAGAATGAAAAGGTCATTGAGAATGGGGTGTTTGGTGAGGCTTTTTTTAGCCAACTTATGACTTTTGACTTTTAAAAAGTTATTTTAGACTGTTTGGTTAAACTTATTTCAAACAGCTTCTGATTCTAACAACTTATTTTAAGTTAAAAAAGCTGATTCTGAGAAGCTACTCACCCCTTGCTTCTGATTATCAGCTTCTGCTGTGGACATGTTAATTTACGATTATACGCTTAAATTTTTTTATTTTTTATTTTTTTTAAAATAGAAAAAGATCCAAATAGACTATAAAATATTATTATTATTTTTTATGAGAATTGTAGACAAATAGTGAATAATAAAAAATAAAAATTAATTAAAAAAGCTACTTCACATCTTATTTAACAAACATTACTCAGTAACTTAAATCTGTAATCCAACAGCTATACCAAACAGATTAACAGCTTCTGATTAAAGTCATAATTTATAATTTGTTAAGCTATAATCTATAATCTGTTTTAACAACTACACCAAACAACACCAATTGAATTTGTGAAAAATGGTTGCCTTGTAATCTGGTTTTTGAGGAAGGGTTGAAAATGAGGGACTTTGGCATAACTTGAGGGGGTTGCAACATGAGTTGCAGTGAGAAGAACAGAGGAAGTGGAGATAGGGAATATGAGAAACCAGTAGTCATACACAAGTCAGTCGAGGTTGATTCCAAGTTGGTTTCGCAGAATGGATCAATCACTGCCCCCCAAATTAACGATTGATGAGAGTTTGCTGGTTAACCCGAATTTGCTTTTTATTGGTTCAAAAATTGGTGAGGGAGCTCATGGGAGAGTTTATGAAGGAAGGTAGGAGCAAACTCGGTTCATAATGTTGTGATCTGTATTGAATTTTGGCTGTTAAATTGCTATCCTCAATTTTACTGTTTTTGATCAAATTTTGACATTTTCTCAATTAACAAAGTGCAAAAGCTAATGTTAGTACTCATTTGATCCCATGACCAACTGTTGTTATATTTACACACACGTTATACATGAGATCATAGTTTATTGTTTCCATTTATTGTAATTTGTGAAGTTGTTAGTACTGTGTTAGTTGATGAAATCAATTGTCAGACAGAGCTGTGCGGTCATAATGGGTCCATTTGGCTGTATTTTCAGTTTCTGTTTTATATTTTTATTTTTGTGAAAAATGAAGAAAACTTGTTTGGTGAACTATTTTCGGACAAATTTCTTGAAAAGCATCTAATTTTAGGGAACACTAAAAAGTTCTCTCCAATTTTCGAAAACTATTCTTGCACAAAGGAAAACAATGTGAAAATGGTGGGTGGTTTTGAACTTTCCATTCTTTTTGTTTAAGGTTACTGTATTCTTATCTCTGTAGTGTTTATATAATTCCATTTATACCCTCTCACTGGTAGTCTTACGAATTTATGAAGGTTAAGTTATATGTCTTGTCTTGCATACTAAATTCTTATTTCTGAGTCATACAATAAACTACAATGAAATGATGATTGATTTGTGTGTATCCTTTTTACCTAGTACCATATGATCCTTTTCCAGGTATGGTGACCGAATTGTTGCCATAAAAGTTCTCAACCATGGAAACACTTCGGAAGAAAGAGATGCCCTTGAAAGTCAATTTGCCCGGGAAGTTACTATGATGTCAAGGGTGAAACACAATAACCTTGTGAAGGTGAGTATCTT